CCACTGATAGGGGAGGTCCTCCTCTTCTTCCTTCTGATCTTAGTCTATTAGATCATACCAGGAGGATGTCTCTGCCCATTTTTATTTGTTTGTATAGTGTGTTGAGGCCATCTTGTATTTAGTATTCATCTTTGCTCATAAGGTGAAATTTAATTTAAAAAAATTTTTTTTTCAGTTTTTTGAGACAGGGTTACTCTGTGTAGCCTTGGCTGTCCTGGACTCACTTTGTAGACTAGGCTGGCCTTGAATTGAATTCACAGAGATCTGCCTGCCTCTGCCTCCAAGTTCAAAAAATTTTAACTTTGCTTCCCAGGGTTGGACACTAACAAACCCTGCCAGAAGGTCAAGTTAATCTACCCTAACAGACCGCACCAGAGGGTAAAGTTAATTTTAGATATGACTATGACTGAATGGTGTCACGATTCCTGATCTGTTATCCCCACACTTGGCTACACTCTGCACTCTGTGTTATCTCTGCACTTGGCTGTACTCTGGAAGACCCTAACCACCACCTCTCTTCCCTCACTTGGGACTAATAAGCTTAAAAGTTAGCGGATAATACTTTGTCCAGTTAGCCAAATGAACTTAAAATGGATTACTGCACCCCCTCTTGTCTTCTGCACTTGGTTTTCCAGTAAGAAGACTTCCCGCAGAACAGGTTGATGTCACAGTTAGGCTCTGGAGTCCTTTCTGTGGCCCTGACCATGATCAGTTTGGAACAAGCATTCAATAAGTCATCCATGTCTGAGACTGGTGTCTGGGTGGTTTGTATGGCTATTTTTTAAAATTTTTTTATTAATTACACTTTATTCATTTTGTATTACATTTATTCATTCATAAGTCCCTCCCTCCTCCCCTGTATGGCTATTTTTGAACTACAATGTGCGTGTGTATGTGAGGGTGCCTGTGAAGGCCAAAAAAGGGCTTTGAGACCTGGAATTACAGGCAGTTGCAAACTGCTTGACATGGGTGCAGGAATGCCAAAATTCAGGTCCCTTCATCTAGGGCTTATGATTTCCTGAGCCCTGAGCTTTTGACCAGGTTTACAGTGCCAACTCATGCCTCCTGGAGAAGAAACAATGCCCCACTTTTGTAGGGTATCTTTGTTCAAACTCCTTTTATTTTGCAACTAATTAATTAATTTTTGGTTTTTCAAGACAGGGTTTCTCCATGTAGCCCTGACTGTCCTGGAACTTGTTCTGTAGACCAGGCTGGCCTCAAACTCAAGCTCTGCCTGCTTCTGCCTTGGAAGTGCTGAAATTGAAGGCATGCTCCACCATAACGTAACAGCAATATACAGAAAAAGCCAACCAGCATTAGATATGCAAGAATAAAATAAAAGAGAAGACTTGAGTAATTCACCAGCACAGCTGAGTTGAAAGGTGCCATTCTCCGCTCCCTTGGCTGCCAGGTTCCACGTGTGGCCCAGGGAAGGAGAGCCTTGTTATCTGCAGCCTCCGTTCTGATGTGGAAAGATGGTTCTTTCCCTGGTGGTTCCCTCCAACTCCAGCCTTCTACTGTGGCCTTTCCTGGCCCTGCATATCCTGGGTATGTGAAGAACAGGACTTCCCTGGCCGCTGCCACTTTTAAGTATATAAGTGTTACATTTATTTCCAACTGAGGATAGTCCAATCCATTGTTTGTTTTTCAAGACAGGGTTTCTCTGTGTAGTTCTGCCTCCGTGAGTGCTGGGATTAACAGACATGTGCCACTGCTCCTGGTTTGAAAGTCCATTTATATATATAAAAAATCTCAGAACTGAAACGTTAATATAGTAACAAAGATTTTATTTGTTTATATTTTTGACTATGTGCATATGCATGTGAGTTGTACTTGAAAGAAAAGCCCACAGAGGCAAGGAGAGGGTGACAGATCCCATGGAGCTAGAGTTACAGGCTGTTTTACGCTGCTCTATGTGGGTACTGAAACCAAAACTCAGGTCCTCTGCAAGAACCATGACCACCGAGTCATCTCTACAGCTCCTACTCCACCCTTTTTTGTAAACAGTCTTACTATGTAGTGCAGGCTGGCCTAGAAGTTGCTGTATAGTACATGCTGGCCTTGACCTGACTATGCAGTACTTGCCAGTCTCAAACGTCCCATGTTGGTTTGGGGTTGGAGGTGGGCATCCTGACAAGGTTCCTCTGTGTAAGAGTTCTGGCTGTCCTGGAACTCAGCAGGCAGAGCAGGAGAGACAAGCACTTAAGGCTGGGCTAGCCTACATAGCAAGTCCTGGCAAGCTTTGGCTACATAGTAAGCAGGGATAGCAACCAACTAACCTTGTGGGTTCATTGCAGAAAACACTGTCTGCTTCAGGAAAAACAGCTTAGAGTTATTCTGCTCCAGCTGTCTGGCCCATAGGCTCATCTTCAAATAGCATTCCTCACCCAACCTCAGCAGGACATGTGTGTCCTCTGGGCGGTCAGGATGGTGAGCAGCGCCTCTCACTTACCTTGCTCATGTTCTCCATGCCTCCGGCAACCACAATGCTGGAGTCGCCTATGGCTATGGACTGGGCTGCAAGGCACACGGCTTTCAGGCCGGAGCCATAGATCATCTGGCAGCTCCATGCTGGAACTGAGTAGGGGATCCCTGCACCCACATCGGACATCTTGTGTCACAGGCAAGGGACATAGGACAGGACAGGTTTGACTTTGTACCTTATAGGTAACTGAGGGCCTCTTCTTGGTTTTGAGGTCCCATCTCAGGCTCTTAGAATGCTGCGGTGTGCTCCTACAGGTGTGCTGTCTCACCTAGCTAGAGAATGACCTGTCCTCTATGGTGTTACTGAGGGAGTCCAGTCTACTGGAGTAACTACCCTTCTGGGAACACCGAGTTCTCTCTTCAACCTTGTGTCACAGGCAGGAGTCACTACGGTACACCTAACTGTGCAGTAGCAGTTTCCTGAGTCCCATACATGTTTCTGCCGATCAGCAATGGTTTGAATTCATCTTTCCTATAGGTTGCAAAGGCAGGCTGGTCCCTGCAGGATGCTGATGTTTTGAGTTAATGAAGCCTACAAAGCTCTCTGTTGCAATAGCTGAAGAACTTGGATTAAACCCCAAGAAAGTCAACACCACCAAGCTGTGCTGTTGCCAATGAGTTTGCAGAATCCCTGTTTAAGGTTGTTTCCGCTAGGTGTTCAGATGACTTGGTGCTTTTCCCAGCAAACAACTTTTAGTTCACATGATAATGAACAAGGGAGGACAGCAGGCGTCACACGGGCATTATTTATTCCTAAGTTTTACACTGAAAGCCAAGTTTGAAAGGGTGGTTTGCTAGAGTAGCACTGATAGAAAGATAAAACCAGGGTTTCAGCCTGTGCCCACAGAGAACTGACTCCAAGATCCTCTTCCCTGCAGGTCAACATGGATGGAGGAGCCATTGCCTTGGGCCACCCTCTGGGAGCATCTGGCTGTAGGATTCTGGTGACCTTGTTGCACAGCCTGGAGAGAGTGGGTGGGACCCGCGGGGTCGCAGCCCTGTGCATTGGGGGTGGGATGGGGATAGCCATGTGTGTTCAGAGAGGATGATCTGCCCTGCAGACACCACCCTGGTTCGGGTCTTGTCAGATCAGTGAGACACTAAATAGAATGTGAACTCAGAGTACCAAAGGGAGGACAGGAAGCCAGGTGCACAGCTTGCTGTACTTTAATGTGAGATACCAAAGGCCTCGCACCTGACACTCTTATAAATAAAAGGGAAATCCAATCAGTCATCAAGGGCTCCAGAGTGGACAGCATTTTCATAATTTCCATGTTTATCGTCTTTGCTTTCTGGGTGTAATTTTATCAGATCATCAATTCGAAGAATGGTGATTGCAGCTTCTGTTGCAAACTTTAGGCTCTTCACTTTAACTATGGTTGGTTCAAACACCCCTGCTTGCTTGTTGTCTCGTGGTTTCCCATTGATCAAATCAAGACCAATCCTGTTAATGATGAAACTCAGATTTAATGACCTCTTTCATGCTCAGAGGCAGTGTGGTATTCCCACTATCCAATCCAAAAAGAATGTGGGAGTTCTAACAAGCATAGCAGAAAATACTCATCTGCCAAACATTTAATAGTCAGATGTTGCACCCTGACACTGTCCTCAGCCAAGTTGTTCATATAGTTTGGTGGCCAAAGATTCTTTTGCTTGCTGATAGCACAACTGTTTTGGTTGGTTTAAGCATACTTTATGGAATCCTCTTAAGGACCAGACTATAATGACATGCTGTTCTGATCTACATTCCCTGTAACTGAGGGGGCTGTCTGAATGGGTAAGCATACCCTAAGATCATCCTCTCGGCCTTCCTATAGACTACCCAGGGAACCAGAAGAGGATCCAGGGTGGACACTTCAGACACAACACTAATCAAACAGACCCTGAGAGTTAACAATGGAACACAAGGAAATCATACACTCACCACTTCAGGTTTTTACGTTCTGGGTTAACTTGAGCCTCATTGTGAAAAGCTCGTAACTTGGCAACCAGGTCAGTGGAATCTTGCGCAGCATTCACTGCCAGTGTATTAGGAATAACAAGAAGAGATCTTGCAAACTCTGCAATAGCAAGCTGCTCCCGAGATCCCTAAGAAGAAAAACAGGAGTCATCTTTGTGAAAGGAAACTAAGCATGCAGCAGTAAGTCTCCAACAGGGTATGGTAAAACCCAACACCATCTCAAATGCCTTTTGAAAGCACCCTTACCATACTGGTTGCATAGTTTTCAAGGTATATGGACAGCGCAGCTTCCACAGCACCTCCACCTGGGACCACAGACTTGGACTCCAGAACTCTCTTCACTACACAAAGAGCATCATGTAGAGAACGCTCCATCTCATCACACATGAAATCATTTGCCCCTCGTAAGATAATTGATGCAGATGTACGAGCCTTAGTACTACACAAAACAAAAAGTGAAATTTTTAGTATTTTTTAATTAGTGAAAAGAATATAAATTGGAAACACCCTTGATTAAATCCTGCTCAGAAGACATTTAGACATAAGGCACCAAGAACAATGTCTAGACCATGCAAAAGAGACAAAGCAGACTTCATCTCAATTTACAGTGGCCCAATATTGTTATATCCCATGCGTATAACTGCTCCGGTCACAGAGAGACTAGAGCAGCAAATAAATGGGAAACAATTACTTTTACAACAGAAGATGCACAGCTCTTACTTTTTGATTAAGATCAGCTCATCATCACAAATTCTCTCCTGTACCACCTCTTCGGCTTGTCCCAACATTGTAGATTCAAAAGTCTCTTCACCTTCCAAATTGGCCAGTGTGGAGAGAATACTTGCTGTAATAAAGTCATAACGATACATTATTTTTCATGACTTTAGTATAAGAAAACTTCCTTATGAGAAAGCCTTGCATTATTTCAAGGTTACAGACAAGCCATTACCATATTGCAAGACACTTTCAAGGCAAAATCAGATCATTCATTTCCAATAAACTCAGTATTCAAAAACGTTCCCATTACCTAAAAATGGCTCTATAAACCCATTTGAGTATAACAAAGAAAAAAAATTGAAACTCAGTGTCAATATTTCAACATAAAGACTTCCAACCCAGTAACATGTATTCCTGAGTAGCTGCTACTGGGAAAAGACATACCTCCAGAAGCTTTAGCGATACGCTTGAGGTCCCTTTTTAAAACTCTCCTAACAGCCATGGCACCAGCCTCCACAAAATACTTCAGACACATGTCATCAATTCCACCAGTGGTTAGAATAACGTTGGCACCAGTCGCCAGGATCTTTTGAATTCTTTCCTTGGTGATATCTGATTCTCTACAGAAGAAATATTTCAATGCACCAAAATTAACAACTTTAGTATTTTAAACAATGCAATTTTAACTTTTACTATATTGCATTTTAAATTATATTAACTATTCTCTTTCAGTAAACCCAGAGCTTAAATGAATAGAATTTATGCAAATTTCAAGGACCTGAAAACAACATTGGCTCTTTCAGACACAGTTTGAGTTCCTAAGTAAGGGTGATTTAAAAAAAGCCTGTGTTTGTCTGGAGGGATGACTCAGAGGTTAAGAACACTGGCTGGGGGTGGAGAGATGGCTTAGAGGTTAAGAGCACTCACTGGCTGTTCTTTCAAAGGTCCTGAGTTCAATTCTCAGCAACCACATGGTGGCTCACAACCATTTGAGATCTGGCACCCTCTTCTGGCCTGCAGGTGTATTTGCAGGCACAATACTGTACACATAATAAATAAATCTTAAAAAAAAAAAAAAGGAGGGGGGCACTGGCTGCTCTTCCAGAGGTCCTAACTTCAATTCCCAGCACCACATGGTGGCTCACAATCATCTATAGTGAGGTCTGGTGCCTTTTCGGGTATGCAGGTGTATATATGCAGGCAGGACACCCTATACATAATAAATAAACCTAAAAAAGAGAGAACCTGTGTTGCAATAAAAATGTAAGACTTCAGAGCCAGAAATCAGAGATAAGATATCTATCAAGGACAGATAAAGGCAAGGACTCCTGAAGCAATATACAGGGTTGGGGCAGATTGGGCAACTAGAGTTCACTTGTAGACCGATCCCACCTCACAACAGGGGTTCTCAGTATAACCCTGGACATCCTTGAATTCACAAATATCCATCTGCCTCCATCTGCCACTGCCTGGCTCAACTGTGAACATTTCTAACAAGCTAAGAGACAGTTATATGTACTATGGAAATCATATGCAAAAATGAGACAGACTGAAAGTCAACTATTGAAGTTATGTCACATCTACATAACAGACATATTAGTCAGAGATAGGCCAACAGCAGTACCCTAAGAGTAAAACGGCATGAAACACGTCTGCCACAGATGTCACTGCAGCTTCAGTCAGCACTGTGCACTACTAGTTGTGTCACAATGGCACACCACATACAATCTTAGGTGAAAACTCTTAACAATCACATAGAATCTATACTTGACAATACACAACAGACTTTATGTGCTTAACTGTACCTATTATTTTACATCACTTTTCTTGTTTGTGACATTAGCCTATACCATGATGCCCAGGAATACCAAAATTCTCAGGATTAAATGATCCCACCCACCTGTTTCAGACATGCAAAGCTAGGACATCATGCTTTTTTTTTTTTTTTTTTAAAGAACATGCTTGTTCTACCTAGCACAAGTGTTGATTTAAAAATATCCTTTTCACAGGTATTGTACACATACCTCTGTCTAATTTGGTCCAATTTCTCAGGATCTGTAATAACCACCTGTACACCAAGTTTCATTTTTGTTTTCTGCAGGCTGAAGTCAAGACAAGCAATTTTTGCATTAACTATTCTTTTGGGCATGCCTATAAATAAATAAAGGTTAGTTATAACAATGCTGGATTCATAAAAGTCACTTATCCTTAAAACCAAAACAGAGAATAAAAAATTTCATGTTACTTACAAACCAAATTTAGATGGTAATTTATTATGATAAACCCTAGAAAAGCTTTGATGGTTGCAAGTGTACATAATTCCTTCCAACTATACCCATCATTTTTTCCCCTTCTTTTTAATGCAGGGCTTCACTACATAGACAAGACTGGCCTCTAGATTCAGAGACCCGCCTCTGGCTTTAGTGACTTAACTGCCCGTGCCACCATGCTCCGCCCTATCACATTTTGAGCTTATTAGGACATATAGCATAAAAACCACGAAGGGGGGAGGCGACGACAGCAAGCTACTCCGATTTGTAATCTCAATTTACAAATAACTGACTCTTACCCTGAGATCCAACCACACAATTGAGTGCATAGCCATTAATCAGCATGCTTTCTATCTGACTTCTCCCGTGGGCTTTCAAAATATTAACAGAATTGACTGGATAGCGAGGCTGGCCTTTCGTATCTGTGTATTTAACAGCAAGCACAGCGTCTACTACCATATTAGCGAAGAAATCAGCGTTTCTGAGGCAACAGTTAAGGACAGGTATAGACTGAAACAACAGAATAAAAGTTCCTGAGACACAAAAAGCTATTCAGCTGGACTTTCTTTTAGCAAAATAATTCACCAACAGAAAAAGTACTATTAGCACAATCAAAGTGACCTCTGCATATTTACCACCACCTGCACTCCCAATCACCTCTACCAGGGAAACACTGAAAAGATAGCAGCAGTTTCCGTAGTTTTCCTCTAACAAGAGCAATTTCCATTAGATTGCCATTTTAAATCTTATTGCATAAAACTAACATTCCACATAAAATCTAGTCTTATTTTTAAGACAAAAGCGGTTAAGCCCAAACTCCACTGCAACATTCAAGGATACATTCCAATAATTTTGGAAGACATGGACGTCTTAGCAGCATTGATCAGACAGTCTCTTCCAAGTTCATCTGTGTTAATAATTAGGTTCTCACTGATATAGCGTACCGCTTCCCTGTTAAAATGTGGAAAAGAAAAGTTTGGCATTTCACATTTAACAGACTGTCAGATGTCACATATAGTGGTTTTCTGTTCAGCCATTTCATATAGAGGGAAGACACTGAGAAAAGTCCCCCCTCCTCAGATCATGGCACCTTTAATCTATCCAATAAGCATAGCCACTAAAATCTATTTGGAGAAAATGTGGTAGTCAAATTGGAAAAAAGTACGCTGGTTTTAGTACTTTAAGTAGTACCATCTGAATGCTAAGATACAACATTTCCAACTTAACGATCAAGACATCAAGATACAGTTCATAACCATTACATAACATTTTCTTTGAACGCAATCTTCTTACTTGCAGGCAAGTCGATAGCCACTAATAACTGATGTTGGATGAATTTTCTGTTTGACTAGTTCATCTGCATTTTTCAGAAGTTCCGCTGCAATGATTACCTGTTGGTTAAACACTGCTTTAAGTATGCATGGCATTCAATATACACAATGTACACAGAACACTCCCCCCAACAGGGTTTCTCTTGGCTGTCCTGGACTTGCTTTGTTGCCTCAAACTCCCAAAGATCTGCCTGCCTCTACCTCTGAGTGTGGGGACTACAGGCATGTGCCACTTCGCCTGGCTACCAGAAAAACATTAAAAATGACCTAGCATCACTTTTAAAACTCATTTATTTAGTTTAGTTTTTGTTTGTTTGTTTGTTTTTTTAAGACAGGGTTTCTCTGTAGCCCTGGCTGTTCTGGAGCTCACTTTGTAGACCAGGTTGGTTTTGAATTCAGAGATCCTCCTGGCTCTGCTGGATTAACGGCATAATATGCCACCATGCCCAGCTATGACCTAGTATTTTTAACCAGAATAGCCCCAGTAGACAAGTGAGTAGTAGCTTGCTAAAAACATAAAATGAAGACCACTGCAAAGTATTCTGTGACAATACCCAAGCTGCAAAAGCTAGAAAATGATAAAAACCTAGCACAACAGAATTTATATCCATCACATTTAGAGACTGAGTGCAACAAAAGCTATAATTCTGACAACTGATTTGCACTATTCTAGTATTTTTAAATTAAACCTTAAAATCATTTAAAATAGGGCAGAATGGGAAGAAGCATTTTTCTTAAAATAAAATAAAATAAAATCCCGGAAGAACCTGTCTGCCTCTTTTGAAAGGAATTAAGTTATTTGTTAAGGCACTTTATAAAGTTAGACAAGGGCCATTTTTACTGTTTAGAAAACGGATTTCACTTTTTCACAGCAAAATTAAGTCTATAAATACACATCCCACACAATTTGTTTTGCTAGGGGCTAACATTTTCCTCTTCAAATAGTAGTATATGAATATGCAGGTTAACCCAGGCTATTAGCCATGTTTGCTGGTTAGTCATTAAAACCATATGGTAGCAATTAACTTCCTCAAATGTCCATCTTGAATCTCCGTATGAAAATGGCAGATTTCTGACCTAGTGGATTATGATCCTGTCATGGGTTCAACTCTAATACATCTACTATTCCCTAGCCATTCTCAGGTAACACCTCACCACTGAGGTAGTTCCATCTCCAACTTCTTTGTCTTGCAGGTCAGCCAGCTCACACAGAACTTTGGCGGCGGGATGTTCTACCTCCAGTAACTTCAGGATGGTGGCACCATCATTAGTAATGGTCACGTCCTGAAAGATAGGAAAGACGTGGTCAACACAGGAAGCACGCTCCACTCAGGTGTTACATATTCAGGTAAAAGCAAAGAGTTTACTTACACCAATATCATCCACCAACATTTTATCTAAGCCAACTGGGCCAAGGGAACTTTTAACAATATTGGCAATAGAAGCTGCAGCCATAACTGTAGATGAACAGTGAAAGGAAAAATTAGAACAATTCACAAACTAAGAGACACCACACCCAAGCATCTATGATTTGATCAAATCCAAAAATCTGTAATTACTACACTTGTTTAAAGGCTAGTGAAGGTTGTTAACTTTTTGAGTAATACTGTGTCAAATGTTTTTAATGCCTCAAAAAATAAGCACTTCTAAGTTTATTCCTTGCTACTGTACAATGGAAACAAAGAGCCAAAAATACCTTTAAGATACATCACACCCTTTTTCTTCAAACTCTAGCAAGTAATTTTGAAGAGTCAATTTAAACAAAACAAAAAGGCACAACGGGGCCACCACGACTCCAAGAGGTGAATGCGTTAAAAAACTGGTTCAAACACAGCAAACCACGTGCTAATTCGTATTAACATTAACCACCAAATATCGATTACCAACGTTCAATTTGCAGTCCATTACTTTCTATTTGGAAAGCAGCTGTCAACTGCGCGGGTTCTATTCATGCAAGAACCGGAGCAGCGGAGGGAAGCAATTAAAAAAGCCACTTAAATTCTATGGGCACTTTCATGGGGCAAAGGAAACCAGTGGAAGCTACTCTTTTGTGGTCATGTGGGGGATGCTCCAATCGGGCCGGAACCAGAACAAAGGGGCCGTGGGGCGTGGCAGGCGGGTAAGTCTGGAGCGAGTCTTCTTGGATGTGGGCACGGACGCGCCCACACCCAGCCCGCGCGCTTCAACTAAACGTGCTGCGCTCTCGAACCTTCTTCCCTTACACGGAAGGACGCGATGGCGCCGAATGGGCCCGCCAGGGAAGGCGGCCGGGACTCTCTCTCCTCAGGGAACTTCACTGTGCCGAGAGGACAGCCACGGCCTACCGACTGCGGCTGGGCATAGGCCTGCGCCGCCGCGGGCCTGACCAGGACTCGCTCGCCCTTACCGTTCTGGGAGCGGATCGCCTCCCCAGTGCTGCGGTCCCCGAACACGGACAGAGGGCCTTCCATCTTCAGGGAACCAGGCCAAACTCACTAACACCGCAGACTCCCGAGAGCTCCGCTACGAGGCCAGACGGCGGCCACCACCGAAGGGACCACGGCGTGGAGAGGCCCGAGGAGACTCCGCGCGGGCTGCTGGGTAACACGCCCCGCCCGCGCTTCGCCAACCGCAAGGCATGATGGGGAAAAGGATGTGGTGGGCGGGACGAAAGCCGAGGCCGGAAGGGGAGGCTACGGAAAGCGGGGGCTGCCTCCTTTGTCCAATTAGCGACTGTATGGGTAAGGCGCGAAGGAGCGCACTCTCCGCCGCGTTGACTGATTTTATCTTCACCTGAGATTCTCACTAATGAGCTCAAGAGAAGGGAGTCCGAGCAGGACGCTGGTACAGAGTCCAGAACTGGATCTGAAGAGGAAGAATTCCTTGGACAGATTTGACTCTGAAGAGTCGGAGTTGGAAAACGGCGAGGACACTGCGAGATGGCTCATTGCCTACGTCGGAAACGTACGGACGAGAGCACTTTCCGAAGCAGCAACATCTCAAGAGAGAAAAAAAAAAAAAGCTTCAGTGGTGTGTGTTAGTATTCAGGCAGCCTGCCTCTGGGTTGCCTAGCAACCTATGATGCCATCGTGTGCCCCTGGCCATTTTGCCACACCTGGTAGAAGTGGTTACCTTGCTCCTTAAAAGGACCAGCACGCCATTTCTTGCCCTCTCCTCTTCCTCTGTTGGGGCACTCCCTCTCTTTCCCTTATCATGTCTCCCTCCTTCTCTCTCTCTCTTCATCTCCATACAATAAACCTCTTTCATATAAAATCTGCTGTGCACATCACCATTTTATTTGGTCCTAACAGTGTGCAGACATGTAGACTGCGCCACAAAAGTCTGAGTTGCACGGGTTTCACCAAGTCATTGAAGGACTCAGTGATAGACTGAAAGAACATGAGTCTCGTCATCTTGAAGCTATCAACAAGTCCCTAACAGAATAAAGACTATTCAGTTATTATGGGTGACATAAAAATCCTCTGAAGGAGCAAAGAGAGACCTACTCGTTCAGGTCTAGTTCCTCAGCCCCTCCACAAGTTGATCTTGAAACACCCTTGACAAGACTGGCCCCTCTGCAAAAGAACCCCTTACACAGATCCTACCCGAAGTTTTTCCTGAGAGCAAAGCATGAGCCTCTATTTGGAATGTTTTTCTTATCTTCTAGAGGTCCCGAGTTCAATTCCCAGCAGCTACATGGCAGCTCCCAACTGTAACTTCAGTTCTAGAGAATCTGACACCCTCCCAGCTAGGACTTAAAAGGAGCCTGGCTCGCTTGCTCGGGTTGCACATGCGCGTTGGTATATTCCAGTGCTCTTTGGACAAGTTGGTAGGGTGGAATTGGTATGCAATGAATGGGACACCTTTGGGTACAGCTGGGAGCTTGAGCACATCTTTGTGCACGCATTCTATTTAGGCATTAGGGAGCATTAGGCAAATCAGCTGAGAATGAGATTAGGCGGTCTACCCGGGGCGGAGTGGGCAAGACTTCACACAGAGAAAACCATGCATCTCGCCCAGGCAGAGCCCCAAGGCGTTTACGCCCCTCAGCGGTGTGCAGCTCGGCGCAAAAATCCTAGAACAACCCGAGGTCGCATGTGGCACGAGGAAGAACTCGCGAGATTTCGGAAACAGCGTGGCAAGCCCCCTGCCTCAACGTCAGCGGTGATTGGTGGATCAGAGATACCGATCGCTCACTCGGCCAGTCCGTACTAGGAAGCTTGTTAGTTCCGGGTCCTGGAGGCACCGGGGAACTTCGGGCACCTGTGGGTTTTCCCTCAGTTAATATGGCTGCGGCTAGTTATTCACAGGGACGGCTGTGAGCAAAGCAAGGCAGGGCCCTGCGAGGTTTTGCTTATGTCCCATCAGCGATGGCGCTTCAGCCGCGGTTCTGGAAATGTCTGTCCGTTTGCAGGAACCTGGGTAACTAATCCCACCTCCCTTCTTTGCCCGCGCTCTGTGCACAGTGTCTGAATTTGCAAATCCGGCGGTGTAGCCGAGGTTCCGTGTGGGACAGTGAACGCACTAACCGCATCGGGGTCTGTGGTGGTAGCCTGTGGTCAGACGGCCATCTCTCCCGCTTCTGGGCCTTGTGATGGTTAGAGCATGCCCATCTCGTGCCCGCAGTAGTGATTTTAAAGATACATGTGGTCGTTTTCATTTCCTAGAGTGTGGGGTCGCAGCCCTCTCCAGCAGTTCCACGCCAGCGGTGCAGCCCGACGTGGAGACTAAGGGAAACGAAGCTGTGGCCCCAGAGTTCACCAACCGGAACCCTCGGAATCTGGAGCTCCTAGGTGTAGCCAGGAAAGAACGGGGCTGGGCGACAGTGTGGCCCAGTCGTGAGTTCTG